ATCAGCCGGGCATGGTAGCGCGCGCCTGTAATTCCGGCTACTCGGAAGGCTGAGGTGGAAGGATCGCCGGAGCCCAGCAAGTTGAGGCTGCGGTGGCCAGGAGCGGCCACTGCACTCCAGTCTGGGCGACAGAGTGGGACTCCCAACTCAAAAAAAAATACTAAAACACTGTGTGAGAGAAATTTTATTATGTAACTTATAGACTAGATAATAATATGATTACAGAGAAGATTACAGTAAATATCTCATATTAAAGTTTCTTATCTTGCATATTACTTAAGGATACTAAAGATTTGCAAAAACAACAAACCAAGTTTGATTCATTATTTTAAGCTACTATTCAGACTCAAATGTTAATAAAACCACATTGGACCCAAATGATATTTATTATACTGAAATGGTAGTCATTTCATTCTGAATTCTGACAAATATATTTTGAGTTATGTTTCTAAAATGGGACTATGGCAGGAAAGCCTTAATTTGCTAAACGTAATGAAGTCCATTAGAACCAAAATGGTGTTAATACAGTCAGAAAGCTTAAAGGATATATGCACATTTCTTCAAATTTAAAAATGAACAAATGTATGGCAAAAACCTCTCTACAAATCTAGAACTGGCTAATATCTTTGTGAGTAACTTTAAATGGAAATGCCATAGGTCATTTCTAGGAGCCTAGCAAGAAATGATTCTTTTTTTGTTGTTGTCAGATGGGATTTATGATTATAGACATAACTATCAGAGTACATATTTATATTAGAAAAATAATTTTAGATGTAGATTCCTAAATTAGATGACAAAGGACATTTTAAATATTTTACAATTCCATGTTATTGTATGGAAGCCACTGACTGAGCTTATGGAAGAACAAATAAAAACTCTTCGGGAGATACTTACCCTTTTCTGTTCTTTTATATACTCTATCAATTCATCTCTTGTTCTTTTCACTGCTTCTTCCACAGCCTTTTCACTTCGCTTCTGCTCTTCCGCTAATGCTGCCTTAACAGTTTCCTGTTTGTGGGAGGACGAAAAAAGTCAGGGAGGTATGCATGTACCATGACAACTTTGCATCCATTTTATATAAACTAGAAATCCTCTTCAATGGATTACAGCTCATTCTATTCAAAGTGTTTCTTTAAACAGGAATTAAAACTTACAAAATCTTTTGGGATCTGTTAGAGATTTCACAGAACTCCCTTTCCTAAACTGAGTGAAAGGGAAAGGGAATGGAATAAGACATTTACTGCAGGGAGCGCCTGACAGACTCCCATGGCTTCCTTACCAACCTTTCATTTGATGTTTACATGATTCATTGCCTTCCTGTATTTTGCACTATCCACATAAGACTTCCAAGTTGTGTTTATTCTTCCAAGAACACCCTAATGCTCTAGCTGTTTTATTCACGTTTAATTTTGCCATCATACAATAATCAAGTGTGGTCTGGGTGGTAAGATTTACAGCTAGTTTGTCCTCTTGCCAGGTTAAGATGTTGAGAGCTGGACACCATGAATAAGAGGCCAAAATTCCACCCTGTGTGCTAATATTTGAAATGAGAGATGTAGGGTGGAAAATGATACTCTTCATTTTATTAAAATATTAATCAGGTACCAAAGAGAGTTTAGAATTGCAGACAGAGAGGAAAAAAGACTAAAATTCTGGGAAGAACAACAACCACAACAACCACTTCCCGAGAAGTAGCAGTATTTTCTGCTAAAATAACGTTTCATGTGTTAGAATGAATGCCACAAATGAAATTCTTTCACTTCCATCTATTTTTGTAGGTACCATCCTTTGTTTTTTTTTTAATTGGACAGCAAGGCAATCAATTAGAAAATGACTTTTCTCAAAATATTTTCTTCAATTTTTATTCTTGAAGTCTCCATTTTGTGATGCTTATATATGTTTTTGCTATTTCCCAATTAAGTTTAGATATGTATGTGTAACCTAGAAAATTTAAAATAATATCAAGGATTCTCTATCTTAATTATACTTACTATAAAAAATTGAAAATACAAAAATATAAAAATTAAGCAACATACTCATATATACACACTTGGATACAAAGAAGATGGGATGTAAATTATACACACTATTTTCTAACTGGTATTCGTCACTTAAAATACATTTTGAATATTTTCTTAATTCTTTACATATTTTTCTCATATAATTTCAATTACATTACAAGGCCAAACTCATGGATATTTTGGTAGTTTTTAATAAAATAAAGCAGTGATGAACATTCATATCTATGTCCTTGTGGTACATCTTAGATATTTTCTTAGGGCCAATTCAAAAAGTGAAATCATTTTAGCCACAGGATATAAACCCCACATAGCTTTTGACATTTTTAAACACATTTTTCCCATAAGTAGTCCATGAGGGAGGCCATTTTCTTGCATCCTTGATACCATTTACATTAATCAGTTTTTAGAATCTTTGCTTATTTGGGGAGAATGGTATCTAATTTTATTCTGTATTTTTAAAAGATCATTATGTGATGTTGATCATTTAGTTCATAGGAATATTAGCAATATACAAGTTTTCTTCTGTCATGTGTTGATCATGTCATTGAGAGAGGAGATAGAAGCTGGTTAGGCAGAGAGAGAGAGAGGGGTAGTCTCAAGGAAACTTAATACCTGTAGGAGTGTCCCCTGAGCCACCCTATTATATAATGTTGGCTGAAAAATGTAGTTAATGTGGTTAAGAACATCCTCTCAATTCAAGATGTACTGTTCAAAGGGACTTTTTGCTGCTTAAATGCAGGCACAATAGCTTAATATAGCATTAGCATTGAGGTTTTACCCCCCTTTGAGTGGACTTTTCTGTGGTACTTATGGATAATATTCAAGATGGAGTAACTTTGGTCAAGGTCACTCATGTGCAATAAGAGCTGGGTTTCAGGAAGTAAGGGGCAGATGAGACGTAAATGAGAGAAATGCTCCCAGAAAAGATAAGTTAAAAAACACAAAAAAACCTCCTAGCACCGGGTTACTCATTTCGGCCCCCCCCTTTTTCTAGAGAGCTTTGTTGCTTAGTAAATTCCTTCTTTCATTCATCCTTTTGGTGTCCACGTTCCTTAATCTTTTTGGTTATGGGACAAGAATCCAAGGTTGCTGGTTTAAGCTAACAATGGAGTTTAAAACTCCTGCAACATCATCTTCCCCTTTTCTACTAGTATACTCACCATTTTTTGGATTCCCTTCCTAATATATAGGATTAACTCTGAAAGTCTTTGAAAATTGTTACTATCTCATTTTTAATCACTGAGTACATTAAAATTTAGTTCCATTGATAAAATAATAGAAAAAAGTAATTTCCATAGTTATTTAAAGACTAAAGTTGAAAAACTATTCTAATTTTTTTAAAGATGAGAATAATATTATTCAAAATAAAAGTATCTGCTATTATAATTCTTACTGACTTCATACTTAAAAATTTAGAATTTAGTTTTTCAGATTTAGAAAGGTAAAACATATTACATAAACCAAGCTCTCTGAAATCAACACATTAATAATTCTGTAGTGAAGAATACAAATGTTCACACTATGTGGGTATATTAAAAGTATAAATAGCTTCACAATAGTTCAGGTCAGGTTTTACCAACAAATGAGTTACAAAAATCCTTAGTTTTCAGTGCTTTCTGAAACTTCAAAACTGCAGACAATGATAGAGACCTTCTAATGTCTGTCCATATTGTCATAGTCCCAGAGAAGGGCATGGCCAGGACACAAGTGCTCCTGTACATTCCTGAGAGCTAATAAAAGTTGTGCTTGTCCTCATCTCCTAAGCCCTCCCAGTGAGTAGTTTCAGGGGATCGTTGACTTCCCTGTAGTCTATGCCCCATCAACTGAAAGATGCAAATCTTTTCCTTTTACTCCCTTTTTCTGTGTGGTTATAAGTTTGAATAATATAGTATCAGTGTGATTGTAAGTCTTGTGAATTACATAACTTTTGTATCAATGTAATAGTAACCTTTGTGATTTGTATAACTTTTGTGTAATGCATGATGTCTTAGGCCCATTACCCTACGACAAGCTTGACTGACACTTCTGCCAGGCCCTACTGATGAAAGCTATGGGATACCTCTGATACCTGGCACCAGGAAGTCTGGACAGAAGAATGTCACTATTGATAAATGAGGCTGAAAACTCAAGTTCTATACAATGCTCTGCTGGTCACACGGCTAATGTACAGGTACCGACAACTCTGGACTATAAAAGTGAACTGTAAAAGCCTAGAGGGTGAGTAGAACCATTTTGAAAGACCTTGAGTCTGGTTCTGCTCCCTGGATTCGAACTCAGAAATAAACTTCTCTCTACCAGTTCCCTGCCCCTTTGATTTACTGGTATCAAGGGGAGCAGCCGAGTGTTACTTGGACCATAACAATAAGACTTTCTATCTAACAAGGAATATATCAGTAAATTTGACCAGGTCTGTCTGATTGAAAACAGTTTCAATTTTAAAAAATGGCTACATCCAGAAAAAACATGAAGAGTTAACTAATTTTCTTCATTTGATCTTTTTTGGGGGGAGATGAGTGTTTGTATTACCTGCTTAGTTCAAATTTTTGAGAATCTTCCTTTCCTCATTTTGAACTGGCAAAGTACCACTTACAGGACAAAGTTACCCTTGATTCTCACTACCCAACTGGGAGTTAGGAGACAGTCAAGGTTGTGAACTCTATACTGAAACAGTATTTGTCAATAAACAATTCCTTTGAATATGATACAAAAATAAAGTTTTCTCCTTCCATTTTATATTCATACAAAATTCTGAATTAGAATAGATTATCAAATTTTGTTTGCATGTATGCAAGTGACTGTGAATATCTGTCTGCAACTTTTGCTGGCTCCATAAATGAACTATATTCCCATGTCATGTGAATTAATCTAAAATAAAGCATAGCTTGCAAGGAATGAAGAACTGCCACCAGTAAGTACATTCAAATAGCTAATTTTGAAACAATATTTTCCAGAGTATTTTAGTGATGGCAGCACCATTGGAACATGGTACATTATCTAAGGCAGGATTTTTTTCAACCTTGACGCTATTAACAATTTTTTGCTGTAAGGAAGCATCATGTGTTAAACAGCATACCTGGTATTTACCCATTAGGTGGCTTCCAGTTGAGAAACATTATCCTAAGGTAAAGAATTTAGATGGAAAAAAATCAATTGCATATATGTTATGGTATATTGATTAAAACAGATCTGTTGTATTTCTTTTCATGTGCTGAATACTCTCATCATCTAAAATATATGTAGAAATATCATATCCAAATGATTATATAACTAGTTTTTAAATGTAGAGTCCTATACACTTGTTTTTAAAACATGAATGACAAGAAATGGTTTTTACACTGCTATAAGCCGGGCTCGGTGGCTCAGCCTGTAATTTCATGCCTTTGGGAGGCTGAGGTGAGTGGAATGCCTGAGCCCACGGGTTCGAGACCCGCCTGGGCAACTTGGCAAGACCTCATCTCTACAATAAATCAAAAAAATTAGCCAGGCATAGTAGCGCACGCCTGTAGTTTCAGCTACTTGGAAGGCTGAGGTGGAAGGATTGCCGGAGCCCAGCAAGTCGAGGCTGCGGTGGCCAGGAGTGGCCACTGCACTCCAGTTTGGGTGACAGAGTGAGACTCCAACTCAAAAAAAAATAAAAATACACTGCTATGATTAAGCAGGTCATATTGAATATCACTCAGGCCTGTGAGCTTATGTGATATTTTGTACAAGATTTTATAGTATCTTTATTACTTAAAAGTATAGTTATGCTTTAGCATCCTTCAAATCTACCATACATTTCAGTAATCACAAGATCATGAACCAATAAAGGTCTGTGGTTGTTTGCTCTTTATCAGTGTAATTTTGTTAAGGATTGTAAACATAGTTGAATTATTTACAGGAAATAAATATCAGCAACCAAACTCAATTCTGGTCTGTGGGTTGTAAACCACAGTATCATGTGGTTGTTTAATTTTCTGGAGCAAGTGCATATTTTACTTATTTTTT